TTTTTTTTTTTTTTTTTTTATAAAAACAGGAAGATCTTCAAAAGACAAATATCATTTGAAAGACTGACAGAAACATATTTTCTTTTTCAGTTTAGTCTACTCTTTTATGTAGATGATATGCTAAAATTTAGAGCACGGATATCTGATTTCCACTAACATTAATGAGAGCTGTCTAGGATGAAGCTTTGAAATTTTATTCCCAAGAGTTTGAAGCCTTTAAAATAACAAATTCTGATGATACTTTAGATTATAAGTAAAAGCCAAGCAGATATCAAAATAAATATAGCATACAAATCAAAAGAAGTGTTCAGATTATTTTTTGACTTAGCAAAACTCATTATTTTAATGCCTATCACATGTGGTCTGGAGAGAAATAAAGGAGAAGCTGCTGTTTTTATTTCTGATTCCAGAAGGCAAATAATATTCACACCCAAGAAACATTTTTCAAAGTGCAGGTGTATCAATTATTTCTTTTGTGGGGCAAGTGCAGCATTTTCATAAGCTCATAAAATGCTTTCCTTGAACAGGCAAAACCTGAGCTTCCTTAAGTCTTTGGCACTAAAAGACATTTCCTTATGTTAAATGCTAAGTTCTTTAGTATTAACAGGGAAGTCTAACACCTTGAATTAAAGGGATATTTTAAGAGGACTGACTGGTCTTTACAGCTGCTTATCATCCCAGGTAAGAAAAATAATTAATTTGTAAGATCTTTTTGTACCTCACAATATGTGCTTAAATGTAAAAATATTATTACCACTTAAAGAAAGAGCACCCATCACACCTCCAACAGATTCTTCACTGGCTTGATCACTGAGATAATTGTAGCACTATTGGATTAGTCTTTCATGAGTATGGATTGCTAGGCTGCACCTTATATTCAAAAATAATCCTTGTCTCTGCATTCACAAGCTAAATACACGCTTGTAAAACATGTAGAAGAAAGAAATAGAACAGAAAATGACAACAATATGATTAAAGAAGGAGAGTTTTCATGATGAAAAACAGAAAAGGAGACTACATAACTTCAAAGTTAAGAGGGCAAAATAGATGGATACAAAATGGTGAATACTGCAGCTAGGGCAAATTCATATGTTACTATTTACTCCCTCTAACAAGAAAAAGTGGACATTCTTCCAGTAAATGCGAAAATGATGAAGGGAAATCATTGATATAATACATAATTAACTGGTGGAACTCACTTCCAAAAGCTATTACTCAAACCAAAAGCTTATTGGGATTTTTTCAACTGGCTAATGAAAATGTCTAATGATACCTAAAATGGTATAAAAATAAGCCATAAAACACACACGCATCAGCGAATAAAACGAATCAATAACGAAGAAGAGTTAGGAAGAAACTTCCCATCGGCTGATTACTGTATTACTGCTTGTTCTACACTTGGTTTCTTGCTATGTCCTCAAAAGCATCTGCTACTTGCCGAGATGTGATACAGTACACTAAGATCATAAGAAATACCATACTGGGACAGACCAATGGTCCATCTACCTCAATATCCTCCCTCCAGAGATAGTTCTAATGGATACTTTAGAGGGAGAGCCCTGAATAGGTTATATGTCTACAGTGATCTATCCCGTTCATTACATTCTCTAGCTTCCACTGTTATTGGTTTAGAGATGCCAGAGAATACATCCCGGATTGCTTAATACCTATTAGTGGATCTATCATCCATAAATTTGTCTACTCCCTATTTAAACCTGGCTATGCTATCTGCCTCTACAACCTCCTAGTTCTGCTGTCTGGCCCTCCAACCACTAGAAATCCTTAATTTTTATATTCTCAGATGGGACTAATCCAAAAGAAGACTAATCATAGAAGGCAAACATTTCATGTTTTTCATCTCTGAACTAGGGAGCAGACAGTTACAGGCAGCTGGGTAGCTGAATACTGTACAAATTGCTATAATATGCAAATTGTTGTATGCATTACCCCTGAGAAAAGTTAGCAGACTTTACAAGTTCAGAGCTCGTAAGAGAGAAGCAATGAGGAGTAGAACAAGGTAGCAATTTATTACTGAGAATGTACATTAGATGCTTTCTATTGTTTTGAAAAAATAAAAAAATCCTACATTAAAAGAAAGGAGATGCATTGGTAAAAATCCTCCTAGAAAGGTTATTTTTTGAATATGTTATATAGTTTTAAATAATTCATTTAAAATATTTAGCTAGAAAAGAGACAATTCCATCTGATTAATACGGCAAATATAGGAAGCAGTTGGACAAAACTGATTTACTGCATTCAGCATTTACCACTAGCCTGAGGGAAAAAGCAAAAAAACCTCTACACAAAGGGTCTCCAGACAGATATAGATTTATCTATAAAGGTGTGTGAAGTCTAAGCATACAGTTACCAATGGTTTGAGTGTCCAGGGTCTGGAACAGACTGTCCCGAGAGGTGGTAACAAGCACCTACTCTAAAAATCTTCAAAAAACATCTGGACGCTTACCTTGCTTGGGTCATCTGACCCAAGCAGTCTTTTGTGCCCAAGTGCAAGGGATCTGGACCTAATGATCTCAAGAGGTCCCTTCCAGCCCCTAACATCTATAAATCTAAGAAAATGATGACTAGCCTGAAGCATCATGGGGAGATCACACTGGCATTGCAAACTGGCTGAAAATTGAGAAAAGGGACAGGAATCTGACAGCTATAGAATTAATTGACAATGATTCTGAATTAAGGAAGTCAAAGCATTATTTAGTGCCAGGCTGGGATTGCTCTGACAGGATACTGCAGATAAGCCTGCCTGAAAGATTAGATATCTGTACCATTTCTGATGTTGCAGTTAATAGTAATTTTGTCTGTCCATGAAAAACTTTTGAGTTCATAAACTCAATCCATGCTGTCACTTTGCCTGTTTCCATTTGAGAACATACCTGGGCATTTTTAATGTAAGATTTCAAAATAAACAAATAGCCTCCTTTTGCTGCACACCTCACTCAAAAGCAGGTTTGAGTCAAACTGTGATGTTTGGAAAATTCTTAACACATTTGGCTCACTTATATTTTTGTCTATTTAATAAGATAACATTGAGGTTTCAAATTGACCAATAAACATCATGACTGTTCTATTTTCCACACACTTCTTTGAGGATTTTGGCTTTCAAAATATCAACTTAAGCCAAACCAAAATACAGTCTCCCAAGTTCACAAGCCCCAGAAAGTCACATATAATGGCTCTGCTTTTAGCTTCCTTCCCAAAGGGGCAATGCTTACCAAATCAAGCCAAATCAAGGTAAAAAATAGTATAAATATATATCTTCACCTCAGGAAAATGTGGACCAGTTGTGGGTTAAGACTTACATGAATCAGTTTCTTATTTTCTATGGGCTTCTCTGGAGGTTCAGGTAAAGGCATGATAGGATCTGATGTGCAATCCACACAATCACACCTCCTGCCATTTCACTACCATTTGGTGGGTCAAAACTTAAGGCATGATTAACTGATTAATCATGCCTTAAGAGTAATGTGCAGATGGGGCCTACATACTGCAAATCCTCTTTAACCTGGGGTCCATGCACCACCTTGGGGGATACCATTGCTTTAAGGAAAGGATCCTTGTCCTAACTTGTATTTGGTTCAAACTGTGACTACCACTTTCCCAGAACTGATGAAGGGTGCTTGAAGCCCAAAAGCTTGTCATTTATGTCTCGTAACTATATAAATAGTCCTACTAAAAGATATTACCTCAGCTCACAAATCTTGTTTCCCCTCTCTCACTTCTCCTGGATAATCACAGCTACAACAACACTGCTAGCCATTTCCCAAGGCATGCAACTTTCAGAAGTGTTTTTGCCCTCATTCGGCAATGTAACCATTTCCTAACGTGAGATCAGCCTCAACTCAAGTTTTCATTAGCAGAAACTAGAAATTCTGAACGTATACTCAGGCTGTTCAGCAAACTAACAACCACTGAATGAGTTAACTTATATTATGTTTCATTATGATTCAGGTTCCATCTAATAAAGGCAAATGATATTTTTGTCTAGGCTAATGTCCTGCCATTAACCTGTCATATACTTATGCATGAACACAAGAACAATCTTGAACAGTCATGAATTTGTACCAAGCAATGTCCAAATTGCATTAAGAATAGTGCAAACAACCCTTGAGGGATATAAACCATAAAATCAATGTGTGGGGTGATGGTCTTGGCAACAAAAGAGGGCACATAACATTACCTGAGCAATATTTCATTAGTTAAGCCATCAAATATCATAAAACTGTGGAAGTTTATGGCATGACTTGCAACTGTAAAGCGAAAATACATGCAGGCCAGCACTCTCATGGAAAATAAAGTCTGACTTCTGGACCGGATTCAAGAAGGGAAAGGGAAGCCCAACTCACATCGCACTGGAATGGCTTTTCCCCGGTGTGGGTCCTCATGTGCTCATCAAGGCCCCGCTTCTGACTGAAGGCCTTGTTGCACTCCGAGCACTGGTATGGTTTTTCCTGTATACAGTGACAACAGGGAGTGAAAGTGAGTCAACACAGAGCACAAGTCATTAAGCGAGTGGAATTCCATGCTGGATGGTGCAAGTTTTATATTCCCTCTAAGGGACTGCAGTCAGTGAAAACAACAGCAAGTGGGTTTAAAAATGATTAAGTGAAAGCTGGGAAAGCTGTGGCTTGACAGTTTCCACTTCAGCACCCACTTATGAATTAATTTTCTGTTTCAGTCCTTCCAACCCAGCAATTGTAAGGGTCTGTTTTTCATAATGCGAAAGGTACAAAAATAAATTTCCAACACATTTTCCACACCCACCCCTAAAAGCTTTAAACATGAAGGCAAGGAAGGCCTTCAAGGCTGTTGGACCAGGTTTTTAGAGGATATGGTAGGGGAGAAAGCACATCTTAAAAGTTGGTGACAGAAGGTTAATGGTATATTCATTGCAAGATCTCAAAAGCTACCAAGCCATATGTATTTTTATCAGAATTATTAGCTAGTGACTACTGTAGCTTAGACGTTGTATGATTTTTAAGATCACCTAGCTGGAGTAAATAAGTAAAAGGTGATCTTCACAGAGATCCACTCATACACAGAATGTCTTGATCAAAGTCCTTTATAAACTCTTAAAGTAACATAGGACATTATATAAGATGCAATCCCTCTTCAAGTTATAGCAATTACAATGCCCCCAACCCTCCGCCCCCCCAAACCCCCCCCC